AGTATTTTGATGTATATGAATGTACATGTGCTGCAGAAGGTCTGTGTTGCACAAATTCTGACCTGTCACTATTTATTTATTTTTTATTTTAAGAGAAAGTATCTCCAAATTGTTCTGCCATTGAGTGAAATGTATCTAATGCCAAAAAACTGCCTTTTTTTTTTGTTCTTTTAATTGTACATTTGATTGATGTGGGGGGGAAACAGGTAAATCAGAGTATGCTTATGTTGTATAGTTCTGGGTAGGTCTGGAAGGTGTGAAGGCACTTCTGATGCTGCTTTGCCTTCAGTTTTCTAAAAAAGGTGCAGATCTGCACCGAATTTGCAGGAACTCTTTGCCATTCCTGCCTTTGGCAGCAGTTTAAACCCTGAAGCATTGAGGATTTTGTTCTCCTGGTGGTACAGAAGAGAACAAGTGACTTGGGACATAACTTTGAACAAAGGCTGTAAAAAGCAGTGTGTGTGTGTGCTGTGTTATTGTAGCAGTTCTGTCTTGTGAGTGATGTTTGTGCTCCTACAAAGAGCAGGAATCTGCCATTTCCCAGAGATCTGCTTTGCATCAGTAGCCAAGTGTTATAAATGAAGACAATCTGGGTTTTTGAATAAGCACTGTTAGAAGTTGGTATAACTGTTCATAGTCTGAATATCTTTAATTAAATGAAAAAGCCCAGATGTGGGTGTTGTGTATCTGGGATTCTTCCCATGGATGGGTTTGGCAGTGAGTTGTAGCTGTTAGTGATGCTTTTGGGATGACAGCAACAGGCACAATGTATTGAATGTACTTTAAGGGTAGAATAACTATTTGCTCTTTTGAAACTGCTGCTACTGTTGTTCTCCTACTGTATTGGAACTGTTGGATATATTTATACTGTTCCATTTGTGGAACTCCTTTATTTCCTTCTGATCTCGCATCCCTTACCTCTGTTACTGTGAAGGACTGGAATTCTCTTGTTTCTCTGCCCTGTAACTTTGTTATGCATCTTGTTAGAGTTGATCTGGCTCCTGCACAACCTTCTTTCAGTTGTTCAGCTGTTTTTTTTTTCCTGCTTCTCAGATAAGAACAAAGGCTTTTCTGACTTGAGTAGGGAGCAGGTCACAGATCAAAGGACACCCTGGGTGTTGTTCATGAGGTGCTTCCAGGTAAAATACACCTTTTTAAAGGTTGGACATTGACTTAAACTGCAATCACAGGGCCAGTGAGTTGAGTTTAGTGTTTGATAAAACCCAGAGGGCTTGGTTTTGCCTTTTCCCTTCTGATGTGACAGGTTTAATCTCTGTGGCAAAGCTGTATTTCCCTGGGTCTGGGACAGGAGCTTTCCAAGTTTGGGAGACTTGCCCGGCAAGGCTCAGTGTCAGTGAGACACAGCTTGTAGCTGGATTTCTTATTCTAGTTGTGAAACACCGTCCAGTGTGTGGCTTAAATAGTTTCAAGGGCTGCCCATGTCTCTCCTGCATCTCCAAAGGATGATTCCTGTCAAGTCATGAGGGAATCATAAACTCTGGCAAGAGAGAGAAGGAGGGAATGTGTTTAACAGGGAAAGGTGGGCTGGAAACCTCCAGCACCAGGCTGGCTGTGGCCCAAAGGAGCGGAGTAGCCCCCACTTGGTGTTGGGGTGCTGAGCCAGGTCTGCCTCCCTTGCATTCCCAGCAGGATGTGACTCAGAGGAGCTGGGATTCCCTTGGGCTGTGGGAGAACTGGGATGTTGCCTGAGGAGCTACTAATTTCCCTCAGCTCTTTCTTCTAAGGAGGGGACATGCACTTGTGTTGTCCACAGGGTAGGTGAAGATGTGAAACCCTCTGTGGTTGAGGTCGAGGGGAGTTGCCCACACTCTGCCCGGGGCTCCCTTCCCTGCCCTCACTGATCCAAAGCTGTTGCTGTCCCAGGTTGGTGGTTACCTGCATGTTGACATTCCTGGTGTTATTCCCTGGTTTATCTGTGCTCAGGTAGCACTTTGTGTGCCCTCTCTGCCAGGCTCCTGAAGGATTACGGGTTTCAGCTCCTGTGTTGTTAAAGACAGCGTGTTTGTGAAATTCTGGGAGCACTGATGGAGAAGCCACAAGGTGGAGTGAGGCAGGTGGAATGTGTGTGCTGCTTTAGGAAGCACGTGGATGTTCCCTTTAATTTTAAAACTCATATTGTTACTACTTTATTTTGTCTTTCCCCCCACTTCTTGTCCTCTTGTCTCCCTGACTGAGAGGGGACTCTCTGCATGGTGACACCTGGGTGGTTCCAGCCCAACTTGATCCCCAGAACATTTGCCAGCCCCCTGCTCAAGAGTAGCTCTGTTCAAGGTGATTGAAGTATCTGAAGTTGCATTGTTTCCCTTGCCTGGAATCTTGGGGAGTTCTGGATCTGTGCTCCCATTTACCCAGTGTCTGTTCTGTAAAACTTGGGCATATTACAAAATAGAGTGATAATTTGCACTTTTCTGAAGAGTTTCTGTGTATTGCTATGTGGATTTAGCTGAATGAAGTGTTAAAAATAATAAAATGTTCCCTTTGTAGTTGCAATCCTTCCGATTTCTTCCATCTTCTTTAGCCAAACACTGTTGCCCCAAAAGCTGAGCTGGGGGAATATCCATGCGGCACTTGGATATCTAAAGAATTTTGGGATGAAGTTGCTTAAGGAAAAAGCAGCAGCTTGGAAGGGAGCTGGCAAAGGGAGGGAAGAGGGTCTGTCTGAGGGAAAAGGGGATGGGGAGAGGAGCAGCCTGTCCTGCAGGTGAGCTGGGGTGGGCACTGCAGGAGAGAGCAGACCCATCCAAGGGTGGGACTGGCCCCAAAGGGATTTTAGTTCCACATCCTGTCCCACCAGGGAACTGGGCAATTGGAGAGGGACTTGTCCAGTTCCATCCCCTGCCACGGGCTTCTTCCACAAGCCCAGGTTGTTCCAGCCTGGCCTTGGACACTTCCAGGGATGGGGCAGCCACAGCTTCTCTGGGCAACCTGTGCCAGGGCCTCCCCACCCTCCCAGGGAAGAATTCCTTCCCAATGTCCACTCTAACCCTGCCCTCTGGCAGTGGGAAGCCATTCCCCCTTGTTCTGGCACTCCAGGGCATTGTCCAAAGTCCCTCTCCAGCTTGCTTGGAGCCCCTTTAGGGCACTGGAAGGTGCTAGAAGCTCTCTCCAGCTTGGCTTTAAATATAAAGGTTAAAACACCGTGGAGGTTCATGGAAGGTGGTTCCTGAGGGCACAGCAGCACATCCAAGAAGGTTCTTGCATCCCTTCAGTGATGGCCACAGGCTTCATCCTGCATATCAGTGGTGGTTTTATCTCCTTTGTAAGGCTCTTCTTGGAGCCCTTCTCCCAGCTCCCCAGAACTACTCCAAATTACCACCCGTTGTCCTGTGCCGGGCAGCTCAAGGGCTGGGCAGGTCTCTAGGGAGAGACTTAACCCTACCCCTTCTGAGGGGTTGTGGTGTCAGAAGACAGGGGAGGGACATGGAGATGGACAGGTTTGTTTGGGCTGGGAGTGAGGAGAGCAGCAGGACACATGGACAGAGCAGGGCAGTGAGTGGGGGACACAGGACGTGGCTGAGGCTCCACTGGGCTGTAGTTGCAGGAGCCAGCACTGGATGTCACCAGCAGCCCAGGCAGAGGAACACAGCCCTGGGGGTGCTGCCACTGGCCAGCTGCACCCCCTGAGCGTGTGTGGGCACCCTGGGCTTTGGGATTGGGGTGCAGAGCAGTGGGATGTGCTTCAGCACAGAGAGGAGGACCCTGGCACCAGGTCCTGCTGCTTCCCTGCTGAACAGAGACACTTCTCCCAGGAACAGCATGACTGGGCTGGTGCAGCCTCCTCAGGGCCTGTGTGAGCAGTTTGGGAACCTGAAGGTTCCAGGGTCTTTCTGTGTTGCTGGCACAGTACCAGGACCTGGGGACATCAGCCTGGGAGCGCTGGGGCTGCTGGAAACTCCGGAGTGCTGGCAGGCAGTGGTGCCTGGCTTGACATTTAGGTCTTGTCAATTTAAATGTTAATTTAGTAACTAAATTAATAATAATTAACATGCCAAGCCCAGCCTGTGTGGGCTGTCCCTTGGGCTCAGCTCCCTGGGGGCTCGTGGATAGGTCCTGGTTGGCTCCACCTTGCCATGGGAGAATGAGGGTAGTGCCGTGGGTGCTGGGCTGCTGGTGCTGTCAGGGCAGCAAGAAGGGATGAGGGTTGGTTGCCTCCTCTTGTGATGTTATTTGGGGAAGTTAAGGAATGGTTTCTGTGTGTATGGAGCTCCTGAAGTCCCATCAGAGGGTTTGGGGTTGGAATGGGACCAACATCCCCCAAAACATGGTCCCTGGAGTCAATGGTAGTCAACTCCACTGTTTTCCAAAATGAAACTGAGGCACAGAGGAAGAGAAAAACAGGGGCTCAGGGATCTGTCCTGCCCGTGCAGAGCAGCATCTCTGAGCCACCTGAACAATTAAAAGGGATGAAGATCATCTAAAAATAGGGATTTGTAAATGTCAGGCTGCTGAGGGGCTGGGAAACATGCTGGGAGGATGGAGCAGCTCCACAGGACTGCTGTGCTGGTGTGTCCTTACACAGGAGCAGGGACCAACACTGATGTGCCCTGGGTTGATCCTGCTCCCCCTGGCTCCCTGAGAGATCCCCAAACCCCCAGAAACTGGCTGATGTGGATCATCCTGGGCATGCAGCGCCAGAGGGATTTTCTGTGCTGTTTTATCCCAGTGGGAGCTGCAGAAGATCCTAGCTCTGCTTTGGATGGGAGATGGGGTGGGGTGACACCAGCCCCTCAGCATCAATTTTTTTTCAGTGGATTTTCATAGGAGAAAACTTCAGTGAAGACCCTGCCCGCAGAAGGCACCACGGGATGATCCCAGCCTCAGGAACTGGGTGACGTGCTGCCAAAACCACCTCAGAGATGTTTTGGTCCCCCCTCTCCACGCAGACGAGGGCACAGGGACACCCCTCCATCACCTCCACCCCGACAGCTTCTCCCCCATCCCCAGAACCCCACCTGTCCCCAACGTGCCAAAATCTTGTATAAAACAGCTGGGAAAGCAAGTTTATTTGGAAAAATAATCCAGATTGGGGCAGATTAGTGGGAACACGTCCTTGCCCATCTGCCCGGGCAGTGCTGTGCCAGCTCCCTCTGGGGCTGCCTGGAGTCAGGCTTGGGAAAACACACGGCTCTGCTGCTGCTGGGGGCTTTGACCTGCTTCCCTGGCCCAACTGAGTGTCCCCAGCCCCTCTCCCTCAGGAAAAGCCCTCAGATCCCTGGTGTTGTCACCTCCACCCCCTCCTTGCTGCCAGGGGCAGGTCAGTGCTCAGCAAGGACCTTCCATCCCCCAGAATTATCCCAACCTGGCTAATTAGAAGCATCCACAGGTAATAGGGGGGATCCTCAATAATCCCAATTTCTTTAACAGGGTGCAGGAGCCACCTCTGAGCTGGATGAAGGACAAACGGAGCAGGGATTGTCCTGGGCTTGGAGATCCCACAGCTGCCCTGAGTCTTGAGTCCTGCTGAGGTCTGAAATCCATTTCTGTCGTTTTTTTTCCCCTGCCCAAAGCCTTCTCTGCTCTCAGGAACTCACTCCTGCTTTGTTCATGCCTCAGTTTCCCCAAGGCATGAGGGTAACACCTCCGTCTCGCTCTTTCTAAAGGAAAAAGTGAAAAGCAGAGGGGTATTTTTCCTCCCTCTGTAGGTTTGCGTTAATCCCTGATAACAGAGGAGAAAGGTGAGGGAGCCTGGTGTGAAGGTTCTCAGGGGTGAAGCTGCCCAGGGAGAATTAATTATTATTAATTCTGTGTATTTTTATCAGGAGGGGGCAGCTGGTGGTTGATTTCCTTCCCTGCCCCTGGGTAGGAGCATCACAACCCCACACTCAGTGGGGACAAGGATGGTACTCCAGCTCAGTTATTTCCCCTGGATAAATCCAGCTGCACTCCATACTGGGACTTTTGGCCTCTTCTGCACTAAAGGAGACCACCCTCAGCCTCTTTCCTACAGCTCTGGCACCATGGAGCAAGTTGGAACACACCTGCGATACTCAGAGCACCTGAACCCCCCAAGGATGTGTGTGGGGGCAGGTGGGTGCAGGCAGGGCAGGGAGGGGATCCTGGTACAGCTCTGGCTCCATCCACATCCACCTCCTTGCCTGCCTCTTGGCTGGATCAGCCCAGGAGAACCTCCGAGCTCTTTGGAAAATAAGGAAGGAAAAGCAGATCTGAAAGCCCACTCTGGGCTGCAAAGTGCTGGTGGCATCTCAGTTGGAGGGCATATAAATAGGCATTTTTGCGCTTTTTTTTTCCCCCCCTCCTCTTTTTCGGTGATGAGCCACTGCAGGGGGCTCTGAGCATCCTTTGCTTGATTCCTATCACAGATGCTGTTCATATCCTGAAATTCATCTGGCTTCAGGAGCTGTTGGGGTAACTTTCCACTCGAGCAGCAGCCATGGGCTTGGGACACTGGGAGGTCCACATTCCCCTTCATGGAAAGGGACCGCACGCGAACAGATGGGCTTCTCCAAACACAGGGCTGTCTCTGGGAACCCAAAAAGCACATTTTGAGTCTCAGCTCGGTGACAATTCGCTAATCCCAAGGTTCCCTAATCCTGCTGGTTTGTCATGCGTGGGGTATGTGCTGCACTGAGTAATGTTGATGTTAACAAGCCACAGGAATTATGCTCCTACAGCTGGTTATCCACCCACACCCCAGGGCTTTGCCTCCCTGGAGGGGGTCAGTGCACACACACAGGGTCTTGCTGCACTCAGGATGTTCCCAACCTCCTGCTGCTCAGTGCCAAAAGGAGAAGAACTCTCATCCCTGGGGCCTGAAAGCCACCACATCCCTCCCTCCAGCCTCATGAAAAGCTGGAGCAACCATCTGCACACACCAGCCCACCCTGTTAGTCAAGGGACTTTGAGGCCAGGATGTGTTTGGCCACTTTTCCTATATCCTGGAGGTGATTTCTTTCCTGTTATCTATCCCAGGCTCTGGTGTTCCTTGATCCAACAACCGCCCCTCTGCCTGCAGTGCTCTCCAGACTTCTCCTTGCAAGATGTTAAATCTCACCAGGGTTTCCCACCTCCATCCCCATGACCTGCTGTGCCTGTGGAGTCACAGCCTGGGCCATGCTCTGCCACATGTGCAAATCCACCCCACAGCCCTTTCTTCTCTCAGGGGCTGCATTTCGGCTGCACAGGGGGGGGAAGTGAAGAGAGGAAGCAGGGAAGTGGATGAAGGTGAGGGGCAGGCTGAGATTTCTTCCCCCTCCCTCATTGCATGAGGTGGCAAAGTGGGACCAGAGCCCACAAGCTCCTACAGTGGGGAGGAAACCTCGGGAAAAGATCCCCAAAATGCAACAAGTTTCTCAGATGATCTGAGCAAGGGTGCTCTCAGGGTTCATCAGGAACCAGCTCCCCGCTCAGCAGGACTAGTCCAAAACACTCAGGACAATTATTCTGGTGCCCAGTGCTATATCCCTACCAGAATCCAGGCTCTATTCCAGCTCCCCTTTCCCAGCTTGACCATGTTGATATTGGGATTTCAAGGGGAGGAAGTTCAGGTGGGGAAAATTGCAAAAAGGGAAGAAGAAAAGGGACAAAATGCAAAGGGTCTTGCACCAGAAACATCCTTCTGGGGCGTAGGAAATAACTGTATTTTCCTCCAGCAGAGCTTTCCACCCAGCAGCTGAGTCCACACATAATCTTAGGGAACACAACTCCCAGAAAACTCTCCCTTACTAACCCAGCACACCGAATACCAGCTGCTCCTGAGGATCAGGAGCAGCTGTATCACCCTCCCCCTATGGAGAAAGGCAAACAGATGGATCAAAATCTCCTGGAGCAACACTCCAGTTTTCATCCCAGCACTGGAATTCAGCATTTTAAGATGCCACACTGCAAAAGCTTCCTTTCGGGAAGCACTGGGAATCGCAGCCCTGCATCTGTAGATGCTCAGCACTCCAGTGTCTCATGGATTAGGTGCCAAACCACCCGGGAGAGAAAACCTGCTTTAGAAAACTATTTCCTGGACAATTTTCCTGAGCCCCAGGGAAGGATTAAGACAGGCAGAGCCTGAGACCTGTGCACAAGCCCGACAGAACCTCTCTGCAATCCCTAGCCATCAAACCAGCCCAGGAAAAGAAGTTTCTAAGCACCAGAGAAACCACGGAGAAGCCCAGAGCTGCCTTCCTCTGGCAAACCAGCCACACTAACTTCGGGGATATTTAGAAATCATTGCAAGGAGCTCTAGAGAAAATAGACGATGGAGTGGGTGCAGCTTTCAATATATTTGCTCTAGGATATAGTAACAGGCACTAAAGCAAACACGGGCGGGGGAATTAGGACGGGAGCTTCTGCTTCGCTCGTTTTAAATAACAAAGTGCCGAGACAGCCGAGTCTACGATAGATTTCAGAGTCAGAAAAGTGCCCCGGGGAACATGCACGCAGCAAACGGAGGCGTTTCCTACGCAGCTGCATCGTTTTGTGCCTGGAACGAGCTGGAAATGCCATGGAACAAAACTAAATGGATAAACGGGCTCGGCAAGCACGTCGCTTCTCGGGGGCGGGGGGCGGCTGGACAGTGTGTTTCCCTCTTTGGAGCGAAAGAAAAGAAAAGAAATCGAGTTGAACTTTGCATCTGTCAAATAGAAATCTAATAGGAAAGAGAGCTGTACATGGTCAAAGTCAAGTCCAGGCTCCAGGAACATCCAGGAGGACAGTTTCGGGTATCGCCTGGATGCGCCAAGCAAACACTCGCGCGCGCGGTGCCGCTTCCCGCCGGCAGCCTGGAATCCCGCGGGCCGCCGAGGAAAACCCGCCGCTGGAGAGCAGGTGTGGGAAGAGGCTCCTAATCCTCCGGGGAACACCGAGGCCTTGCCTGCCAGCACCCCGCGGGGCCCATCCCGGTGTGCTTCCCCTGCCCGCGGGCACCGGGAAGGGGGGGATGGATCCAGCCTGGTCCCCTGTGGGATTCAGCGCTAAGGTGAGGGCACGGGCAGGGAGAGCCCTCCAGGATCACCCCGCTCTGCTGCCCCCCAGCACCCGCTCCCGGCTCGTCCTCGGAGACTAATTTTCGGCGGTGCCATGGCAAGGGGATGGACGGGGCTAGTGCGAGGTGTGGATGTTGGGAGCGGAGAGGCGTCGAGGGGCACGGCGGGTCATGCCGAAGGTGCCGTCAGAGGCCGGGGGTGCCCACGGCGCTGGCACAGCGGGGGTCGGCGTCCTGCTCGTAGCGGTAGTGGTACCCCTCCATCTGGTCGCGACAAGCCTCGCGCAGGTTGTGGAGCCAGCGCTTGATGCCGCGGCGGTTCAGGTAGAGCACCATGAGGAAGACGATGCCGATGAGCGCCAGGACGATGCCGAAGAAGACGTAGGAGGCCGTCTCTAGCTGGCCGGGCTCGCCGCCCTCGCTGGCCGCACACACGAGCTCCTCGGGCCGCAGGCGGAGCAGCACGGCCCCGCGCCGGGCAGGGGGGCCCGCGCAGCGCAGGCTGCGCGCGTCGAGCACCCGGGAGCCCGCGGAGCGCAGCCAGGCCAGGAAGGGCCGCAGGGCACAGTCGCAGCTCAGCGGGTTGGCCCCCAGGTTGAGCCGCAGCCCCCGCAGCTCCGGCGCCTCCAGGCTGCGGAGCTCGGCGGCCGCCAGCCGCTGCAGGGAGTTGTTCCGCAGGTCCAGCTCCTCCAGCCCGGGGGGAAGAAGGGAGGCCGGCAGTGCCTGCAGAGCGTTGCCCGCCAGCTCCAGGCGCCGCAGGGTGAGGTTTTGCATGGCCAGGGCGAGCTGCTCCTCGAGCGGGGCCGCCAGCAGAGCCTGGTTGAGCTGCAGCGTGCGCAACAGCGGGACCCCGGCGAAGGCCCCCGCGGCCACCGAGAGCAGCGGGTTGTGGCTCAGGTCGAGGGTGCGCAGGGCGGGCAGGCCCTGCAGGGCCATGTCCTCGATGGTGTGGATGTTGTCGTGGCGCAGGCGGAGCAGGCGGAGGTCGCGCAGCGGGCGGGCGGCGAAGGCGGCGCGGGGCAGGATGCTCAGGTTGCTGCCGGCGATGCTGAGGTTGTGGACGGCGGCCGGCAGCTCCCTCGGGGGCTCCTCCAGCCGCTCGTAGCGGCATGTGACCAGCTCCGGGGTGGCCACGCAGTAGCAGGCGGAGGGGCAGCCCCCGGGGGCGGCGGCGGGGGGCACGGCCAGCGGCAGCAGGGCGAGCCCCAGCCAGGGCAGCCAGCGCCCGCCGCCCGCTGCCCGCGCCTGCCTGCGGGCCATGCTGCCTGCGCGGGCATGCAGGGCAGGGCGGGGGGGCCGGGGCGCGATGGGGGAGGGGTTGCGGGGGGACGGAGGGGCGTGCGGGGGTCGCTCCTGCCTCGCCGCAGCCCCCCCTCCGGGGCTGAGCTGCCTCCGGCGCGGCGCCCGCACACGGCGGCTCTGCCGGCAGCGCTGGGCGCGCCGCTGCCCAAATCGGGCTGGGGGGGTGGAGGGGGAGGAGGAGGAGAAGGAGGAGGAGGAGAAGGAGGAAGGGGACGGGTTGGGGCTGCCCGGCGCTGCGGGCTGGGCGGCGGAGCGCCGCGGGCAGCGGCCGTCGGGGGGAGCTGAGCCGGGCTCGGCTAAGCTCGGCTCGGCACCGGTCCCCGCCTAGACCCCGCCGCTGCGGGGGGAGGGGGCTGGCTCTGTCCTCTTCCAGCCCGGGGAGGGGTTAGGGGATGTCGCGGCCCCCATCAAGCCCGGGGAGGATTTAGGAGCTGTCTCGGTCCCCATCAAGCCCGGGAAGGATTTGGGAGCTGTCCGGCACCCAGCAAGGTGGGAGCTGGGAGGATGGTGCAGTGTGTCCCCACCCAGCCCTGGGGAGGAGATGGGGGCTGTCACGGTGTCTTTCTATTCCAGGGAGGATTTGGGGGATTACCTCAGTCCCCTTCCGTCCCAGGGAGGATTTGGGAGATTGCATCAGTCCCCCTCCAGCCCAAGCGAGATTCGGGGGGTTGTCTGAGTCCTGCTCCATCCCAGGGAGGATTTGGGGTTGTATCAGTCCGCTTCTGTCCCAGGGGGATTTTGGGGGATTGTCTCAGTCCGCCTCCCTCTCAGGCAGGATTTGGGGTTGTGTCAGCCCCTCTCCAGCCCGGGAAGGATCTACGGCTGTCCTGCTCCCCTCCTAGCCTTGGTCCCCATTCCCTGACCTGCCCCACAAGCCGGACATCCTGCAGCACCCCTGAGCATTGCAGAGTTGTGTCCCTCTGCTTCCAAGACTGCATGGGTCCCTTCACCCTCCCAGGTGATAACTGATATCTGCCTCATCCCTGGAAGTCTGCAAGGCAAGGTTGGACAGGGCTGCTAATGGATTCATTGGCATCCAGAGATCCAGGTGGAACTGGACACAGCTGAGTTAATTGGTGCATATTTTAAGATGGTATCAAAGATTTGCATTTAAACAGAACAGACATGTGATGCAGCTGTGGGTGGGCAGGTCCAGTGGGGCTGATTCTCGTGGTCAAAGCTGGAGCTGGTTCCTGAACGGTAAGGAGAGGAGGAGGCAAGGGAAGGCAGTGAATTAGGACCTTACTGGCTGACCTGGAGTCATCAGGGTGATTTTTCTTCACCCCAAAGAAGTGGAACCCCACAGTGCTGGACTGTGATGGCCAGCACAAGGGTGCAGATCAGTGGGCATGAGGGAGCAGGTGCCTCGGGGGCCCACAACCAGGCTTTGCTGTGTGTCCAGGGCCCAACAGATGCATGGAGAAAATGCTACACCAACCCACAAGGGAAAAAACAAACACTCATGGAAAAGCCACAAGATCCAGGAGGGGAAAGTTGGCCCCTCCAGGGTACAGAGGCAGTGGGTCAGCAGAGCCCGTGTTGTGTTTAACTGCCCTGTTAATCCCACAATATCCAAAGGAGAGAGCACCTTTCCCCCAGCTGTCTGCAGAGCTCCTGCGTGCTGGTAATGCTCTATAAATACATTAGCAATAAATAATGAATGACCTGACTGGGCATTAAAGTGTAAACAGGAGGTGAAGGGCTCTCTCCCATTACCGGTCCCCCGAGAGCCACTCACATCCCTCTCTCCAACTCCAGCTCGATGTGACTCCAACTGCAGAGCCCTTAGTCACAGCACTGACAATATCATAGATCAGTGGCTCCATAGTTGGGAAAAACAAGCCAGAAATAGTCCAGAGGGCACAGTCTCCCTCCCCATGCCACGATGGGTTTGCTTACATCAGCATTTTTGCCTGTGATGCTCCTCAGCCTGCACGGGCTGACCCTCCCAAGGAGTCACAGTCCTCTCCGTGGCACTCTCCACTCCCAGAAAGCTTGGGAGTTCCCCTGATTTGGGAGGGCTTATCCCCTTTGGGTGTAGCAAGAAGTAGTGAGCTGTGCCAGCTGGATATGGTCCTGAAAAGTCACTGCCCTGTGACTCAAGGTGGCCCCATTCTCATCTTGGGGGGGGAAATTGTCCCCATCACAGCTGGTCCCAAGGGAATCACGAACACCCACCTGAGGTGTAGAGAGAAAAGGAGATGCAATGAATTTATGGATGTGACATGGGATCATTTGGGGAGGGGACTCCTGTGCTAGAGAGGTTACAGGAGGCTGATCACAGGCGTTCGGTCTGTGTTTGCTCATCACGGAGGTCCTGTGCTGCTTCAAAAGGTCCTCACATCCCCAAATAAAAGCAAACCCTCTTGTTACCAGCTGTAAATGATCCATCCCAGGGTCCACCAACCTCCTGGTGAGGAGAACGGGGCCTGGAAAACCGGGCTGTTGGCTCAGAGCCCTTCTCCTCCCACAGCCTTGCTCTGCCAAAGCTGGGCACCAATACCTCAGCTGGCTGCAAACAGCTCAGGGGTGGCTCTGCTTCAGGAGAGAGGAAAGGGATGAGCTCTTCATTTGCCCAGCTTTCACGGGAGCCTCACGCTGGGATGGGATCTGGGAGCTGGGCCAGCCCAGCACAGGGTCAGCTCCCAGCAAAGCCAGAGTGTCACGGTCTGGTCGTGCTCTTGGGAGGGGCTCTGGAAGTGGGCAGGTTGTGTGTCCCATGGAAGGAATCCTTCCCCGGGAGGGTGGGCAGGCACGGGTTGTCCAGAGAAGCTGTGGCTGCCCCATCCCTGGAAGTGTCCAAGGCCAGGTTGGACGGGGCTTGGAGCAAGCTGGGCTAGTGGGAGGTGTCCCTGCCTGTGGCAGGGGGTGGGACTGGATGAGCTTCAAGGTCACTTCCAACACAGACCATTCCATGATTCTGTGATTTGTGCATTTGAGCTGCTAAAAGAGGAGGGGAAGAATGTCTCCCATAAAATTTCATGTGCATTTTACCTCCCACCCATCCCCACAACCAGGACCAGTCTGTAATGGCAAGAGTGAATATATAGGCCATGTACATACATTCAAAAAGGATAATAAATAGGATTACTGGAGTGCAGTGGACACCCACCTCTGTCCATCACTGATTCCCTGGTGTGGCTAAACCAACTGATAACAGTGGTGCTGTTTAATTATCTGCCTGACACCTTCTGGCTGCTGCAGGATGGGTAAAGGGCAAAGGGCTCCAAATTGCTCCTTCATTGTATTGTCTCCCTCATGGTTGCAGAAACCCCCACCTGCTTGTCTTTCTGTATTTCACTGGAAATCAGCTGTTGTGGTGATTGTGATTGTTGTGGTGGTGGTTATTATTATCATTAATAATAATATTTCTCTGCTTTTCAGGGTGACAAATCCACTTGCAGACTTTAATGAGTGGCTTGGAAACCATGTGTCAATGACATGGGCTGCTGGAGAAGATGAGCAGGATGGTGGTGGAGCTTTATTCCCAGGCCATGGTTGATGCAAAGCTGCTTGAGCATCCCAAATTCTCAAGTCAGGTGGAAGCCAAGGGAGTGAAGCAGCTGATGGGCTGCCACTCCCTCCGTGGTTCCAACATGTGTTTCCCTGGATGTTTTCCATTGGCAGCCAGCTGAGCTTTTGCTACGACACCAAGCAAATAAAAAGATACACATTTCCTCAACTTTGAACTGGGGGAGGGTCACAATCACTCACATTGGAGCTGACAATTAGTAATGGAGATAGGACAGATTACACCTCACCTGTGATCACTCACAGCACCTGGAGAATATTTAATGGAAGCTCAGGGCTGCAGCTCCCAGGAACCCTGAAGTCCTGATGGCAGAGCTGAACTCAAAGCTCCTTCCCAGGATGGAAGGATGGGCATCTTTGGGATCAGGGCTGCCAGCTGGGGACACTGCTATGGGGGCACCCACTCAGAGCAGCCTGCTCCTGGGCTTGGGAAGCTTGGGTGTCCCTCTCCATCCTTGCAGGGTGGGTGGTGACAGGGAGGAGGTTCCTGCCCCCACGAGGCTGTGCAATGATGATGATGATGGTGGGAATGGATCTCCTTGCCTGGGGCCATGTAGGATAAAAAGAGGGGGGGGGCACAGGGGCTCCTGTGGCCTCACTCTCCTCCGTCCCTGCCTGTTCTGTGTCTGCTGGGGTTTAGGTGAGGATGAAGGTGGTGCATGGGCCCAGCTGGGCTTCCCTGGGGGTGCTCAGTGGTGGCCACCCAGATTTGGTGTCACTGGAGTGCTACAGTCCTGCAAAAAACACTTCCCTGCAAACCCCAGCAGGGATGGGGATGTGTCCTGCCTGGATCTGCACTGGGGGACACACCAGGGCCAGCAGTGCTTGGGGTAGGTCCCTGCAAAAAGCTCTGGGGGCTTCTCCCACCCAGCAAACTGGTGGCCAGTCCCACACTGGGGTGCAGTGAGCTGGGGAGGTCTGTGCACCTCGCCCCCTCAGGGAATTTCTGTCTCCCAGCTGCTGAAACACTGAGTTAGAACCTGGTTTTGCATTATTCAGGTGATATAAATCATGTTCTGAGTCTAGAGGGGTCAAAAAGAGCAACTGTGGCCATGCTGAGACTCCTCCTTTGCAGGAGGTGACTGGGGGTGACCCTCACCAGTGACAGCCCTGTTCTGGCCTCCTTGGAGACAAGGAGAAGCCAATGGAAGAGTGTCCCATAATCTCCAGAAACCTGAAATTACAGCTCAGCCTTTGTCTCCCACCTCCCACGGGCAACAGGATTTTCATGGTATTTGGGACTACCTTGGCTTTGGTGGGACGGTGTGTGCAGCATCCAGCAGCTCCCCTGAGGTGAGCATGGGCTCTGCAGGTGAGGTTTATGGTGAATTCTTCCTGAATTCCTGAAAAACTGAGAAAAAAACCCCTACACTGATGATGATTTCTGAGCAAGGAGTGACAACAGAGCTAATGGCAACATATAAAACTGCCTCCTGACTGCAGGAGGGATGCTCCAGGGGGAAAAGCTGAGGCCAGGGACCAGCAGAACTATAAATAACTTGCTATGGGGACCTTCCACCTTCCATTCTGTGGCAGGGTCATAAATAGTTTGCTCTGGGAAGCACCAGTGCATTAGTGAGGGCTGTAAAGCATCAAGGGCTATGGCTTGGCACCACCGACTGAAACTGCAGCAAAAAGAGGGGCAGGAAAATGAATCCTATTTTCTTTTATGGACCACAGCGATCTGCTGGCTTAAAACGTGCCTTAGGAGATTCACAAACTAAAGCCCAGCAAGGATAGAGTCGCCTCTGAGGTTTACCCAGAGGGTAAGTTGTTCAAATAAAGGTGATGAAAACGTGTCCCGGCAGAGCAGCCCATGAATCCAACCCAGGCATTGTCCTCACCTGATGGTGATGCTGTGGCCTTGGACACTGTCCTTGGTGGAGCTGTGAGGAAGAGATGGGGTTCAGAGGTGAAACAAGGTGGGTCTGGGGATGCAAGGCCAGTTTGCAGGGGGGACTGAGCAACCTGGTCTAGTGGAAGGTATCCCTGCCCATGGAACTGGATGAATTTAAAGTCCCTCCCAACCCCAACCAACCCAAAGAGTTGCAACAGAACTGTGGGTGGGTGTGGGGTGGATGAGCCTCCTTGTGCCCCCACATGGGCAGGTCTCATGGAGCTGTGCTTGCAGCAGCCAGCACCAAACAGAGCTGTGGGGAACTTGGGCTGCTTTGCAAGATGTGAGTAGCAGGACTGCTCCTGCTTGGAGAACTTTGCCTCTCCCTACCCCTGGTGACGTGTCCAAGCCTCCTCCAAGTCTTTCCCTGACCTTCCCTCACTCTCCCTGGCCACTGTCTTTGTCCTTCAGCCCAAATTACAACAAGAAATCCCATTTTTGAGGGATGGAGGAGTGCAGTGTCAGGCAAAGGGCTGGAGAGCCCTGACTGCTCTCCTGGACCTTTCATGGTTGTCACCCTTGGCCAAAATGAGGTGGGGGAGTCATTGTTGTGGCCAGAGGGCTTCCAGCTGGGTGGGGAAGGTGCTTGCAAGGCAGGAATGCCATGGAAAGCAGTGTCGTGACTCAGCAGAGCCAGGAAAGAGATATTTCCTGCAGGAGCATCTCCATGAATCAAAGTCATGAACAACCCCCAAGGAAAAAGTCCTCCAAAGCTTCAGGAACCTGGGCTTGGCTCTTCTCCTTCTGCTGCTCTTCAGGCTGTGCATCCAAGCAGGGTGGGCTTTGCTGTGCCACCAGAGAGACCTGTGCTGGCAGGGCAGGGCAGCAGAGGTGGCATTGGAGCAAAATGCTGCAGCCAGAAGGTTTTGCAGAGGAAAATGCTGGCAAGGGAGGTGATAACATCTGGTAAATGATCCTTCTCTAATTGCTGCTTTATTGTTGTTTAATGGCTAGCATATAAAACCCCAACAAGCTTCATCAAGGTTGTGACGAAAGTTCCTGAGAACCAAAGAAAGGGCTGCTCTGAAACTGCTATGTGGAAGTGGGGGGCAAGGAAAGCCCCCAGTCTTTGACTTTTCAAAGGTATTTCCCAAGTCACCTTCCCCAGAGACCTCTCTGATGCCATGGGAGCTGAGGGAGATGTCATCTCCACAGAGTCCCTACCCCAGGGAGGGCAGATACCTCTCAGCACCCCAGAAATAGCTTTTATGTGCTTAGAATAGAGGCTTTTTTAAAAATACCTGCTGCATGGGGAAGATTTTAGAGATGAACAAGCCTGATGTGGTTATGTCCAGGGTTGTTATTCACTTCAGAGCTGCCAGAACTGCTTGACTGTGGTGGTGCACCAAGGGCATGGGGCCAGCTGGCCTGGGAGCAGAGCCAGTATCCATCCTCAGCTGGAGGTTGGTGCACACAGGGAATGGGAGCAGGGAAGGACACATGGCTGTCCCTGGTGTCTTGTTCTGGGCAGGGGAAATGGTTTAGTCTTTGGCAGCCCTGCTGCTCTCCCAGCCACAATCCTGAAAGAAGCTCCTTGGCATCTTCTCCGTGGTCTGCTGTGTGGAACAGCTGTTTCTGCAAGAGGAATCTGCCCACCCCTCCTTCAGGGTTGTCCCATCCATCTAAGGGTCTTCCTCCAGGGGCCAGCAGGGTGCAGGGTCCTGCTCAAAGCAACCACCTCTGTTGAGGAAGCATCTCCCTCCTCTCCAGCACTGATCCACACTGGTCCTTGACCCTCTCTCCGGAGCATCCCACTCACAGCTTACCACACTCACCACTATTCCCAGGGCTGGAAGGACTCAGTGATCTATGAAGACCCTGGGACATGGTCCCCAGAGGCAGCTCTGGTGGGTTGTTTCTGATTGGCACAAGGGGTGGCCCAGCTGTGGTGGATCTTGTTTACTGGGCTGGAGCCTGCAAAAGATTAGGAGAAAACAGATGGCTCCTAATTGGCAGTGCCAGCTTACTTCCTGCTCTCCAGATAAACCATTAAATTAAGGCTTAAATCAAACTTCATACAAGTTAGGAGGCTGCTTGCAATTATTTCAAAATCTAGACAGATTTAAGGGCCTGGGTTAAGGCTTTGTTTACTGTAAAGGATGAAAAACGCCTGCTCCTTCCTGCAAGGCTCAGCAGCCAAGGGTTGAAGTGTGGGGATGGGACTTAAAATCCTCAGACTGAGCTTTCGTGAGAAAAGCAAGAGGTCATAGAGTAGACCATGAGAGTAGACCTGTGATGGGCCGTGCTGAGGAAGGTGCAGCTCACTCTGGGACATAGTGACACCAGCAGGAGACTGGAGATCCACGGGGAGTGAGAACTTACTGGCAGCCAGGGAATGGTTCAGGGCTGATCAAAGTCATGGGATAATTTTAACTCCAATCATATGCAGCTTAGTTAAGATAAACAAAATTTAATAAGCTGACCCTCAGCTAAGGCTGTTTAAAAGGGAGTGTTGCCTTTCCCACTGGAGAAGTGTGGATTTATGGCTGGTCCAAGGATATGCAAATGCATAAACCCACGTGTTTGGGAAATACCATTGTCGCTTTGTCTCCTGGGTCCAAGATACTTCCACATTTCCAGGGTGCAATCAGACCCTTCCTGGCCTGATTTCTGGTGCATTTGCACTTCAGAAAACCCAGGGGACACAAGCACGTGCCTGAAGGATTTTCCCAGGTGCTGTGGGACTGCTTGAAACTTCAGGCTTTGCTGGATCAGACCTTCAGTTCCTGACCTGTGTGAATCTGAAGATGTGCAGAGCACTGGGAGCTATTCAACTATCAGTCATGAATGTGGCTCCTTTTTTTCCTTTCAGGAAAAGCTGCAACATCTCACAAGTTGCAACACCTCATTGAGAAACAGAGATTCTCACAGAAAAATAGAAAAATTCTCCAGGAAGTGAGATTTTTGTTGTTCATCCCGAAAAAAAACCCAACACACCTGCAACTCTTACCGAGTGATGTCTGAAATTTCTCCATCCAAGCAGGGAAAATGACCACAAGTGAAACATAAAAATTAAGTACAAAATTAAAATAAAGGTAGCACTGACCTGGGAGAGAGGATCTGGGATATGGGCATTGGACTTGTATCCTAAAGTCCTCCTAAGACATCCTGAAGACCACTCCTTCAGGAGATGGTCACAGAGAGGTCTCACCCTGGCTGTAACAAACTGCCCCATTTTCATTCTCTCCAGCCATCACCACTCAGGCTGAGCTGAAAAAAAATAGAAGGTCTTGATGGAAGCTGCTCTAAAAATCTCATGAA